TTGGAAGGACCTGGTTTTCATGGTGTCTGAACTTGGTTCTCACACTCCTGGTCTCGTTTCAGTGAGGATGAGTTTTTGGTCAAGACATTGCTCTCCACTGAACCATTTTTCGGCTGCTCTGGCACTGCAAGTCAAAAGGAATAGGACCCAATCCCCCCACCTGGGGCATCCAAGGAAGTCATCGTGGAAAGAGGTACAGTGATCTTTGAGGAGCTGCTTGGGCCCTCCTGGGAGCTGACTTCTACATCAGTGCTTTTGAGGACATCATCATAGCAGATGGCACTGGTACTGCCATCCTCACTGACTGTCATTGGATCAGGACCATAAGGTCACAGGGATCCTCTGGCAAGGGAATATTTGGAATATGACTGCCCATGTGCATCCGAATATGCTGCTGCAATATCACAGCATTGGTAACTCTGGCAGATGGGGCATGAATGCTGCCTCTTTATGGGTGTGTTGGTTCAGTGAACTCCAAGGTGCGTCTGCAAGTTGCCTTTGGTAGAAAAAGCTCAGCCACAAATCTTATACTGGAATGGTCACTCCCTGCTGTGTGGCTGCCTGTACAGTAATATATTTTGAGAGCGCTTAGGAATCAGTAGAAAATGAAGCCAGTGGTGGCCTTGTGGATGTTCTCAAACAGCTACAGTAATTTTAGGGTCTCTGGTCCTGGCTAGGGGTCCCACTCACTTAGAAGCCACCAATCCTTGGTGAATTATTGTTTGTCCATACCTCAGGGAGGGTAAGCCTGCCCTCACTTACTGCAGAAGGACTAGGATGCAGGTCATTGGGCAACAGGCCATCCATGAGGTTCTTGGGGTTAGTCTTTGAAGAGAGATTCTGAGGTAGCCTTAGAGAGGAAGTTACAAGGACAAGTTTGCTGTCTAAAGAGAGACTTGATTCATCAATGGAGGCAGGTACAGAGTGCATATGGGTTGCCATTGCCTGTTGCCATTTTGTCCTGAAACTCAGAAAACAGCTGAGGGTTCACCTTCTCTTGGAGATGTTTGTGAACGTGTACGCTGAGGTTACCCTTGGTAGTGAAGCGATGACTACAGAGCACACGAAGGGTCTCTCTCCAGTGCTGGAGCAGAGGTGGATCTACGAGAAGCTATCAGTCCCCAAAACCTTGCTAGAGTACTTACACTTGTGCTTGGAGATGTTCTGTAGCTTTCCTTTCCCTTTCTTGGAGGGGTCTAATGCCATAGTGGAGAAAGGACCCTGGAAGAGCACCAAGCCCAGAGCCTGAGGGAGCAAAGCACTCAGTATGGGAGACACGATGTTTTCCCAAACAGGGAAAGGGAAGAGAGTACCCTTTTCCCATCTGGCTTCAGAGCAAATGGCATCAGTCCTGGGGCAGAGTGGTGAAGGTAGAAGGGATGCTGGCATGTGGTATCTTGGCTTGTTTCAAGGCATCCAGAGACAGACCTTGGTTTCCAGCCTTCTGGCTGAGCAAAACCACAGCTGCAGAAATTTGCTGGACATGCCCAAAGTCTTCAGGGTGTCAGCCCCTGCCCTGCCACAGTGGAGGACATGGGAGGCCCACATGTTCATCTCAATGTAGATCTTCTCGGTTAGCTGGATCTGCTATAGCTGCTGTTGCAGATGCAAGATCTGCTCCAGGACCCATGGGATGCTGTTGGTGCTGGGCACAGGCTGGCAGTGCACCTGCACTCCACTGATTCACTGCCAACTTGGTGTCCCAGACAGCCTGCATGGGCACCTTAGTGTTGGCTGCTTTGCCTGTGGGTAAATAGCTTATGTCCTTAGGTGTGGGTGCAGGGCCATCTCTGTAAGTGCACCACAGACTCCACACCCGGCTTCTCTTTCATGTCCCCTAAGCTGCCACTGTTCTACTTCTGGCCATCTTTATTGCTTGGACTGGGTGGCTGGTGGCTCAGTCTGGCTCCAGAGAGCTGCCATGGCCTCTATCTGTCATTCCTGATGAAGACAGGGGGGTTTTTAGTACAATTTTTCTTATGTTCTAAGAACTCAGAGATGCTAAAGAACTGCACAGTATTTCTCACAGGTGTCCAGTTCCTCCCGATGAAGCCATTTTACCATGTGGCTTTGTCCTTATTTGCTTCATCATCATTCCCTTGGTGATCCATGGGAGCACCCCAGGCCCCCACCACTGGTGCCATTCAGGCTGCATCTGTGAACTCTGGATTCAGTTGCTGCTCGCCCTGGTCCCCCTCCAAGCTGGCATGCTGGAGTTTCATCTGCTTGCACTTCTATATGGTGTGAGCATGGGGCACTGGGAAAGCCACAGTTCTGGCTGATATGTTTTTTAAAGGCTCTTTTAATCCATAGATCCCCTCACTCATTCTTTGTAGTTTATGGGAAGAAAAAAAAGAACCAAGATGTTTGTCTTGCAGAGTTTTTCACACCATAAATTTTGCTTACCGTATACTTGTGATGGGTTTAATATGTTCTGCTGTCCTTTGTACTTACTATAAATTGGCGATGGGATCTAGAGGGCAGTATTTTGTTTAATACAGTGAACAGAAAACAAAGCTATTTTTCACTTCTGGGGAAGTCTATTGGATTGAGTTACTATTTCAAGTCCACCTAATATTTTCCCTCTGTTTGGAAATTCTGAAAGACACTGGAGGTTGTGGAATAACAATTGTGTGAAACATTAAGAATTCCACTCTACTTCTGGGAGAGTACACATTTGACAATTTACTGTTCGCTCCCAAGGGTATCCAATTCTGATGGGGAAATTTCCTTGTTTCCAAAGAAAGGAAATTTTAGTTATGAAATCAGGTGGAAAGGTTCCTAATGCTACCATTTGGGGTTGAAGCAGCACCGAGCTGTTGAACTTGTATCTTATTGTCTATTAGAAGATGGAAATGAGGGCAAACACACAAAGGATGTAGGTGCTAAGCAGGTTGTACTAGGGGTCAGACGGAAGGCAACTACTACCTGTAATAAAGAGGGATGAGAGTTAAGATTCAGAGATTCTTTGTATCACACATAATATGTCCCTAATATTTGCTTTCATTCTTTAAATTAATTTTAAAAAGCTTACGACAGTGGATCAGGTCCAGAACAGAAGTTTCCTAAGTCAAGTAATTAGGGACCCTGTACAGCTCATTAGCTTGACCAGCTCTCTCTGTGTGTGATACACTTTATCTGAACTCAGTCAAACTCTAGCCCAGGGATACTGGAACAATTCTGCTATGAAGACATCCATCATATGCAAGATTGGAGGCTCTGAGATGTGGGATATGAGGGTGACTAATTTCAGGGAACACCTGAAGAGGTTCCCTGATGAGGATCATTAGGAAGTAGCAGGGGCTGAAGCCTAGTGGTCATTATCATTGACTTTATTCACAGAGGCTGGAATAAGCCTCAGCTGTCTTGCAGGCTGTGATGGCTTCATCTCCCCAGCCCCTCATAAAGAGACTTCCTGTATTATAGCTCTTGTGGATTGGCCTGTCTACATCTAACAGCTTGTAGCCTGACTTAGATAGGACTCAGGAACAAACAACAAAGCTTCAATCTCTGGATAACCTTTTGGGACACCCACTCTACTTAGGAGAAGAATAGAGTTTACTGCGTCATTTTTGTTTATCCTCTGATGCCAAGGCCCAGTGCCTAGTGACACATCATCAAGCCTGTACCTTTTTAAAACACTTGGACAATCATACTCATTTCATTCTACTCCAGGCACCTACGAGCATTTGCATTTGCTACTCAGCTCTAGAGACAACTCTAATATTGAATGAACCTTTCCCAGTTACAATGTACTTAGTTCCTTTAGGAACAGATGAATTATATTAATTTTACAAGAGACAACCAGAATTACTAGAAAATCTGTCTCTCAACTTGCCTTAGAACTTAACAGGAGGAGCTGTGTCCTCTGGAGTTTCAGCCAGCTAGTCCAAGTTCAGTGTGACCTCATGCTTGTCAAATGGGAATCTTCTAGTTTTTCTCATTCTCTCATGCTGAGGAAAGAAACTATGTCTAATGCCTTGTGGAAAAAAAACAATAAATTCAAATTCAAATAAAAATATTCACTTTTGAATTAGTACCTGTTCTGTCCCTTCCTCCTTCTCTCTTCCTCCCTTGTTCTTTCCTTCTTTGTCGCTCTTTCTTCCCTCCTCCTCTCCCCTTCCTCCTTCTCCTCTTCTTCCTTCTTTTCTCCCTCTTCTTCCATCTCCTCCTTTTCCTCTCCCTCTTCTGCTGCTGCCTGGCTACATAGAATAGCAGTTTCTGTGTATGGAGAGCAGGTGACTTCACAAGCCACTCTCCTCTCTGCCTGCTTCCTTTGGCTTCTTGTTACTACTGTTACATTATCATGCAACATGTGGAACAATACGAATATGTCTATAACAACTAATTGTCCTTTCACAAAAAAGAAGGGCAGCTAATAAGTGTTAGGAACTCAAAAAGGTAGTGGACTATGTGCTCTTGTGAGGCTAGTAAAATTTTGGAACTGCCTAATTAAATCTCTACATTTTACAAATGAGAGAACAGGTTCAGGGGAGTTATAACTTTCTCAAGGTCACATAGATTGTTTGTGTAAAACTTTAATTCCCTCTGCCTACCATTCTATACTGGATATAGCCCCCTAGAACATGGCCTTCATAAAGGCAGGAACCATGTCTGTCTTATGAACTAATGTTTCTCCAATGCTTACTATAGCTAAAAATACCTCGTAAATTAGGAATAAACTACACTTGAGTTTCTCAAGCTGGAATATACCCATGGTACATGAAATCATGGGGGAAAAACAGGCGTAGTTTCATGAGATGGTATTTCAGATTTGTTTGTCTTGAAGATGAGTTTATGTCTTGTAACTAAAAATTTAAATTTTTACTTTTAAATTAGTTCATACTGTGAAATGAATGGTAAATTTTTGTAAATTTTAAAAATAAAATACATATACATCAAAGCCATTATGTGTCCAAAGAGAACTTTTGACCTCTACGCCAGGGAGTGGAGTGTTTCCCAGATCTTCCCATGTTTATAGCTAAACTAGAAATCCAGTTTTTAATGTGATATCTGTTTTCTTTTAATGTTAAAAACTCAGGTTTCTAAAAACTTGTGTGGAGCAAAAGAAATAAAAATCCCTGTTCCTGAGCACCTGCTGTAATATCCAAGGAAAATATATGTTTAGACAGGAAGTAGACACTGGACACACCATCTGGGTTCTGTTTGCCATAGCAGTTGTAATTCTGGCCCTAACCACTTCTCAGCTTCAAACTGGCCAGAACTCAGAGGGGAAAGGGTGAAGGCAAGATATTCAATAGGTTAGGACCAATTCCCACCTTACACATCTCTCTTTGTAGGCAGCCTCTAAATGAAAGCAAAATACTTAGATACTTTTAAAATATCATAATCATGTCACAAAAAGAGAGGAGCCAGAGAAAGGAAATTTGAGGAACATTTCACATCTATTCTGATGTATAAGAGGTTGCTGGTATGATTATGGAAAGAAGTCTAAATTTAATTATTCTACCTCATTTAGTAATGATACCATTATTAAGAAAAATCAATGGAAGGCATTTCTATTACACTTGGATTAAAGCATTCTACGTAATAATTAATGCATAAATGTATGAATCATTCTGAAAACTTAACAGCTTATGAATGGAATCATCCATTTGGTCTGAAGATAATTGGATAGTTTCCCACCCTCAATAAAACCAACACGAGATTAATATATTTTGTTTTTGCACTTTTTGTTGCATAATTCTATATATCATATAAAAATATGTGCTATATATTCTGTCTCAATCTATTCTAAAGAATAGAAGACACCCATGCTTCTAATAAATGATATATCTAGACACTGTACATGAATTGAACTCAGGTTTCCTTGCCAAACCACCTGTGCTGACACAGCCCCAACTTGCTTCTTCCTGTCTGTGATGGAGTCTCTCCCCAGGAGCCCTGTCTCTTGTTGAGGTTTTTGTAGGGCTCCCACCGACACCCATCTCACTGTGGCTTCATTCAGAGCACAGAAGTATACTGCTGAGTCCACGACCTGTGAGGCTGTGATGGTGAGGTTGAAGGAACTGGTGGATTTCTGGAAGTTCGAATAATATCGACCATTTATTTCATTTTGCTCATCAAAAGAGTTCTGACGAATAAGGAAAACCAATTCTCCACTTGGTGGTTGCTTGTACCAGAATAAGTAATAAGTAGTATCACGGGTTTCATACACACAGTCCAAGGTCACATCCTCCTTCTCCACCACAGAAATTTCAGTCTGAGCTTGAGTTACCTTCTGAGCCATGCTGGATCCTGCAGAAAAGAGGAAAAATAGACTGATCCCTTATTTGCAACACTGGGGATAAAATGGATTAAGTGGCTTAGGACCTAGTGCTCTGATTTCATTGCCTGTTACCCCTTCTTTCTAAGCCTCATTAGACTACAAAGGTCTGCCTCCCTCCACATCCTTCTGAGCTAACAGGAGTCTGAGTTCTGTGCTGGTGGTCCTGCTTACCAACACAGATGGAGGTTATGACTGCCCTCAGCAGGCTGGCAGTCAGCATGTTCATAGCTCTTCCCCTGAGTGAAATGTTCTGTGCTCCGTCTCAAATCCAGATCTTAATTCTCCACCTTGCACTCAAGAGGTACTAGCAAAGTTACTGGGCTGTGTGAGGCTTCTGCCTTTTACAGGAAGTATGGTTAACAGATGTATGATGAGTTTGACTGTGCCATGTCACATGCTTCCTGTATAGATGGAAGATCCTAGACTGTCCTAAGTACCAATTTTGTCTCAATATAACTTACTGGACTGTAAATATACAGTGGTAAAATTGAATCATGGTTAGTTAATTCATCTTTGGTGGAAAATGTGAGGCTTACAATTTATTATGAGCTATAGTGAATACATGGGATGATATAATTATGCACCTTTTGGTCTTACATATGTCTTTTTCTTCAGATGGAATCAAAGTGCAAACTAACCACACAGAGTTTTCACTCTCTAGCAGGAAGGCAAAACTTTTAGTCTCAATCTTTGTTACTACTTTGCCAGTCACGGAATCCAGCAAAGGTTATGTAAGAAATAGTTTATTGTTAATAAATGATTTTACATCATACCTCTTGAGTCACCAAATCTGTTCAGTGTTTGCCATGTCAAGTAACAGCAGAGAAAAATATATACATGTTTATTTGCACATATATTTGTGTGTGTGTGTAAACAAAAATAAATTCCAAAAATTCTACTCACTGCTCAAATGCAGGAGTTTCTGTTATAACTCAATATGTGTGCTCCTGAAAATGCCCCTGCTATTCCAATCCTCACACATTAATTGTAGTGGAGATTAGGATAGGAAAAAAACTAAAAATATATAATTTATAACCAGAGCATTACCAAAAATCATAGGAATCCTATTAAAATACCAGCAGAGTTCAATCTCCACTGGCTTTTGTCCCTTGCAGCACAGTCATTAAACTCTTTGCAGTGTTAAATATTGGGACTTATGTTTCACCCCTTAGATATAGGTTCATAAGAGGTCCTATATTTACAATAAGAGTGGGTTCATCAAAGTTTTGTGTTATTATTCTTCATTAAAAATATATTTTATTTGATTTATGGCTAGGGTAAGAAAAGAATGGGGGTGAGTGCTAGTGGGCACACATTTTCTTTGTGAGGTGGTGAAGATATTCTGGAGTTAGATCACAATAATGATTGATAACTGTGAATATACTAAAACCACTGAATTGCAGACTTAAAAGGATGAAGTTTAAGGTATGCGAATTGTATCTCGATAAAGCTGTTTTTTTAAATGATAGAAGTGAAAATACTCATATTAATGATAGCTAAAGTGATTCTAGTGCTGCCATGGAAAAGAGGACTGGGGGTTAGGGAACCTCCCAGTATCAGGACAAGCTAAGACTATTATAATATTTCAGTCTTAAAGAAGATGATCTCTATGGAACCCTAAATGCAGATTTACCATGAAGTATATTAGGCTTTGATTTTAGAGCCCCTTTCTACCCCGGAACCTAGAAACTTAAATTTATAATTTAATTTTCTTTTTCTTAAAGAGCACCCCAGAAATCAAAGAAAAAACTTCGGGGTCTGCAAAAACCTGTACCTTTTTATGTGTAAAACTCACAGGATCATGCAGGATAGAAAAAGGAAAAACAAGTCTCACAGAACTCCAAATATTAGGAATAATTTCTCGTGGTGAGCTACATTCTGAGAGTTTTGGTGAGGGGCCCACATTTCTGTTTTATGCTCTTTGATATAGAGAATTATGAGATTATTTTCTCCATTTCGGGTCCCAGTGAACAAAACTCCATGTTCATTCACCTCTTTTTTATAAAGTCTTTCTTGGCTGCTAAATTTGATGCAATTTAGAAGGATCATGGGCATAAATGCAATGATAAAAATGTTAGTTCCCAAATTAAAGTAATGTCCCAAATCCAGAATTTCTCATAACACAGATCCTCAAGTCAAAAATCCAGGTCATGATTTAGTGTTACAATAAACAGCTGCCAGGCCAACAGGAAGATCAGTGTGGAGAGGTGTAAACAGTGTGGGCAAGACATGCCATGGATGCAGCCTTTACTGACTGGGCTGCTCTGAAACCACAGTGCTGGTAACACAAGGAAAGCCTCTCATCAGCACACTCTCCTCATAGAACTTACTCAGGTAGCAGAATTTCTTAGCAACCACAAGAGAAGGAAAAGTCAAGGCAAGAGAGGACAAATGCCGCAGTCCATGGAGATGGAGTTTCTGCAGGTGAAACTCAGCAAGACAAACCACCTTGGTCTCCATTGTAAACACAAGGGAGTAGATTCAAGGTGATCATTAGTCCATGAACTGTTTTCCCTTAGAGTTTTTACTGACAGGTTATGAAGTATTTCAGCATAGACCAACTGAACTGTCACATAGCAAGTTAATGTCACTTCTCAGGAATGTATGCCATCTGAGGGGAAGAAGAGACATCTGGACTGAGGACAGAAGCATTTCTAGAAAACAGAGCTTAGGTTCTGCTTTAGACTGTTCCTCCCCCAATTCCTCTGTGTGGTGTAATGTAAAATCTCCATGGCTTCTTGGCACCAAAGAATCAGAGCTGGAATTACATGGAGGAAGGCTGCAGGGTAGAACCCTGGAGACAGAAAATAACGCCCCCTCCCAAAGCCGCTGACACCCAGGCCCCACCTGCGGCCCCCGGGGTTTGTGCTGGGCTCTCGCTGCAGTCCCTCCCACTGTGTCTCTCAGAACACAGTAGTACACGGCAGAGTCCGACAGCTGCACCGAGGGTTTCTCCAGATGGAAGGAACTGTCACTCTTGACATGACTGGCCTGAAAACCTCTGCTGTTCGTCTCCTGGTTTTCTGAACTTTTCAGGAGGAGCTCAGGCTCTTTGTTTGGATACTGGACATACCAGAATATAAAAGCTGAATAGCTGGTCTGATAAGTGCAGTTTAATGTTAGAGCTGCCCTCTCAGGGAGGGTAACTGGACCTTCTGTCTGGGTCACTGAGTCTCCATTGGTCCTTCCTAAAAAAAAAAGGAAAGACGTTATTATACTGGCAATAGACAGTATGGTCTCCAGTTTGGAAGGGGTTAAAGGTCATCCTAAAGCTAAGGAATAGAACATCTCAGAAGTTCTGAGTAAACATTACTCACTGATTATCAACAAGATCACAAGTCCTGAGCAGGAAGCAAACAGCATGGCTGGCTGAGAAGCAGTAGAAGGTTTTGTTGAGAGATATCCAAACCGAGAGGTATATTTCTTTATGTTGTTGATTCTTTGGCAGAATCTTCTACAAAATCTTGACTCACGTGTTAAGCATGGCAAACTGCTCTACAAATCAGGCCACAGGCAGAACAAAGAGATGTGTGCGGAAAGGAAAGATGAAATTTGTGTCAAACCACAAGCTGAAGGGAGCAGCGCCCTCTTGCGGCTCCTCTCTGTCCCTGAAGCCTGCTCTGAGTCTTGGAATGTTGTTCATTTTCTCACTGGGGTGCGGCTTAACGGGCAGACATAGAAGGAAAACGGTGTCCGAGGTGAAGGGTGGTGGGACTCAAGGAAGGAGCATCAAATGCTCTGCTGACTTCACCGTGTGGATGAGTCCTGTCAACTTCTTCAAGGTGCAGAGCAATATGACTCCCTTAAATCTCCACAGTCCCGGCATCTAATGTGTTCGCAAGTGGTAATTTAGTTTTAGGCGTCTTAGGATATCCTGAGAATATCGATAAAGAAAAAAAATTGTGAGATTTATTCTTGGTATATTTCCCACTGGTCCCCGGAAACCAGGGGGTGAGCACTTCTGCTTAGAATGTCCTTCCTTCTCCCCACTCCGCTTCACTTGGACGACTCCTCTTCATTCTTTGAAACCAGTGCATCACCTCCATGTGAAAACATTCTCCCAACTCTCTAGCTAAGTTAGTGCTCTCCTTTTTTCCCACCATACTTTCTGTCCTTGTCACATCATGTTAGAATCATTTCTGTCCTGTTTCTCAAGCCGCACTTGGTGCTCCTGAGATCAGAAGTTGAATCCTGTTACTATCAGCAGCCCTTTTCCTAGGCCCTTAGCTCATAGGAAATGCTCAACAAAAAAACCCTTAAAAATTGGTGAAAAAATGAATGAATGGCTGTGTCTGGTAGGCAAAATTATCTTTGATGAAGGACAGTCTGTGGAAAGATGTGTCTTAGGCCCCTGGCATGACTGACTTCATTTAGGAGTAGATCCAGGACCTGGTAGCAGGTGCATTCCATGTTCTTCAAAATCGAGTAAGGTGCAGGACTTCTTAAAAGGGGCCGCTCTCATACTAACTTTTTTTTAATATTATGGTGTTTTCATATACCCAACAATAAAATTTGGTATCAACTTTTTAGGCTCATAGGTTTTATACAATTACCAAATCAGACAAAAAATGCAAACAAAATATGAAGTTGATAAAATTCAAATTAAAACATTAGTGTGAGAAATGATTTTTCACTGAAACTAAAGGGTTAGTGTAGGCTTATTAAAAGAAAGCTATGGATGTGTATAGTTGAATAACTGATTTGATTAAAGTTGTTTGGAGCTTGATGTACTATTGTCTGAGTTATTGTGATTAGTGATTACTAGGATTTTTTCTTCACTTTTCCTATTCAGCAATACTCAAGTCAGTCACTATTATACAATTTTATTATTTAATGAAGCACCCAAGAATTCAGCACTGAAAAAAATATGTTTTTTATTTACTGCTACTTTTGTGTCTATTGAATTGTATGTTGATACATACAAACAATGAATGTTTGCAATGCATCCTCTTTCAATGGAAAGATGCAGGTTCTTGGGAGTTTGTGGCCCATCTGTAGTGCGATGCAATATACTTGTAGTGCTATGTGCTATGTTCTATATCATAACCAAAATTTTCCAAAAACCTTTCACCATTTAAACAGCTGCAATGTCTTCATTTGTAGAGTATTATTATCCCACTTGCCCTTAATTTGGTAAAAACGACATAAATCGAAATCAAGAAGGCTATTCTATTAGTCATCTAGATGATTAGAAATATTCCTTTGTTATGATGAGTTCATGTCCTTTGCAGGGACATGGATGAAGCTGAAAACCATCATTCTGAGCAAACTATCACAAGGACAGAAAACCAAACACTGCATGTTCTCACTCATAGGTGGGAACTGAACAATGAGAACACTTGGACACAGGGCAGGGAACATCACACACCAGGCACTGTCATGGGGTGGGGGCAGGGGGAGGGATAGCATTAGGAGAAATGCCTAATGTAAATGATGAGGTAATGGGTGCAGCAAACCAACATGGCACGTGTATACCTATGCAACAAACCTGCACGTTGTGCACATGTACCCTAGAACTTAAAGTATAATAAAAAATTTAGAAATAAATAAAGAAGAAATTTTCCTTTATTATTTTATTTTGTCTTAATCACACAGAAAATTGCAAATCTAAAAATTCTCATTTAATTTCTATACCTCAGGGACTGGTGAACTTTTCTCTATAAAAGGACAAACAGTATATATTTTAGACTTTGAAATCATACACTCCCTGTTGCAAATACTAAACTCTGCTGTTAGAGCCCAGAAGCCATCATAAGCAATGTGTAAATACATGGGCAGCCTATTTTGCAATAAAACTTTACAAAAACAGGTGGCAGGTTGTTTTGAATGCTAGGCCGTCGTTTTCTGACCCCCATTATACACCAACAATTTGTTCATACAATTCCAAATACCCATGGACTATATAGTTTGAAAAACTCAGCCCTATTTTCTTGTGTGTTCTTTCACTACAACATTATTGTAACTCTTAGAGGAGGCTTAAAATAAAGTATATTATTTAAATATATTATATTAAATTAAAAGGAAGAAAGAAGAGGAAAAATTGATTATCTTAGTGCTTAAGATATTTTGGTGTTATGGATTCAAGGTTGAGCTCACAGATAATGGTCTCTGCCCTTATGGAGCACATAGAGTAATAATACAGACAATTATTAATCAGATAAAGAAATAAAAGGAGAAACTACACATTAAAAAAGGCAGAGGTCCACAATTCAAAGACAGCATATTGAGCTTTCTTCTATTACTGACTCTTGAACAGATGTACAAGAACAAGTAGGCATTTACTGGGTTCTACTCTCAAGGGAAGAGAAAAGAACTTTTTAAAAAGAGTAAGAATGTATCCTAAAATTGCTTTGAGGGGGTTATGTAAGATGAACAAAGTGCATTCAAGAAACGTAGATAGGCTTCCTGAGCAAGATGGCTGAATAGGAACAGCTCCAGCCTCCAGCTCCCAGCACCAGCAACACAGAAGATGGGTGATTTCTGCATTTTCAACTGAGGTACCTGGTTCATCTCACTGGGAAGTGCTGGACAATCGGTGCTGGTCTGTGGGTACAGCCCAACCAGCGAGAGCTGAAGCAGGGCAAGGCATCACCTCACCTGGGAAGTGCAGGGGGAAGTGAATCCCTTTTCCTAGCCAAGGGAAACTGAGACACACAACACCTGAAAAATCGGGTAACTCCCACCCTAATACTGCACTTTACCAAGGGTCTTAGCAAATGGCACACAAGGAGATTATATCCCACACCTGGCCCGGAGGGTGCCACGCCCATGGAGCCTCCCTCATTGCTAGCACAGCAGTCTGAGATCTAACTGCAAGGTGGCAGCAAGGCTGGGGGAGGGGCGCTTGCCATTGCTGAGGCTTAAGTTGGTAAACAAAGTCACAGGGAAGCTCGGACTGGGTGGAGCCCACTGCAGCTCAAGGAGGCCTGCCTGCCTCTGTAGACTCCACCTCTGGGGACATGGCATAGCTAAACAAAAAGCAACAGATCCTCTGCAGATGTAAATGACCCTGTCTGACAGCTTTGAAGAGAGCAGTGGGTCTCCCAGCACGAAGGTTGAGATCTGAGAACAGACAGACTGCATGCTCAAGTCAGTCCCTGACCCTTGAGTAACCTAACTGGGAGACATACTCCACTAGGTGCAGACCAACACCTCACACCTCACACAGTTGGGCACACCATGAAACGAAGTTTCCAGAGCAAGAATCAGACAGCAACACTCACTGTTCAGCAATATTCTATTTTCTGCAGCCTCCGCTGCTGACACCCAGGCAAACAGGGTCTGGAGTGGACCTCAAGCAAACTCCAACAGACCTGCAGCTGAGAGTCCTGACTGTTAGAAGGAAAACTAACAAACAAAAAGGACACCCACACCAAAACCCCATCAGTACATCACCATTACCAAAGACCAAAGGCAGATAAAACCACAAAGATGGGGAAAAAGCAGGGCAGAAAAGCTGGAAATTCAAAAAATAAGAGAGCATTACCCCTCCAAAGGAATGCAACTCATCGCCAGCAACAGAACAAAGCTGGACAGAGAATGACTTTGATGAGTTGAGAGAAGAAGCCTTCGGTCAATCAAACTTCTCAGAGCTAAAGGAGGAACTAAGTACCCAGTGCAAAGAAACTAAAAATCTTGAAAAAAGAATGGAAGAATGGATAACTAGAATAATCAATGCAGAGAAGGCCATAAACAAACTGATAGAGATAAAAACCATGACACGAGAATTACGTGACAAATGCACAAGCTTCAGTAACTGACTCGATCAACTGGAAGAAAGAGTATCAATGATTGAAGATCAAATGAATGAAATGAAGCAAGAAGAGGAGTCTAGAGAAGAAAGAGGAAAAAGAAATGAACAAAGCCTCCAAGAAATATGGGATTATGTGAAAAGACCAAATCTACATCTGATTGGTGTGCCTGAAAGTGAGGGGGAAAATGGAACCAAGTTGGAAAACACTCTTCAGGATATCATGCAGGAGAACTTCCCCAACCTAGTAAGGCAGGCCAACATTCAAATTCAGGAAATACAGAGAGCGCCACAAAGATACTCCTCAGGAAGAGCAACTCCAAGACACATAATTGTCAGATTCACCAAAGTTGAAATGAAGGAAAAAATGTTAAGGACAGCCAGAGAGAAAGGTTGGGTACCCACAAAGGGAAACCCAGACTAACAGCAGATCTCTCAGCAGAAACTCTACAAGCCAGAAGAGAGTGAGGGCCAATATTCAACATTCTTAAAGAAAAGAAGTTTCAACCCAGAATTTCATATCCAGCCAAACTAAGTTTCATAAGTGAAGGAGAAATAAAATCCTTTACAGACAAACAAATGCTTAGAGATTGTGTCACCACCAGGCCTGCCCTACAAGAGACTCTGAAGGAAGCACTAAACATAGAAAGGAACAACTGGTACCAGTCATTGCAAAAACATGCCAAAATGTAAAGACCATCGATGCTATGAAGAAACTGCATCAACTAACAAGTAAAATAACCAACTGCTATCATAATGACAGGATCAAGTTCACACATAACAATATTAACCTTAAATTAAAATAGACTAAATGGTCCAATTAAAAGATACAGACTGGCAAATTGGATAAAGAGTCAAGACCCATCAATTTGCTGTATTCAGGAGACCCATCTCACATGCAGAGACACACATAGGCTCAAAATAAAGGGATGGAGGAAGATCTACCAAGCAAATGGAAAACACAAAAAAGCAGGGGTTGCAATACTAGTCTCTGATAAAACAGACTTTAAACCATCAAAGATCAAAAGAGACACAGAAGGCCATTACATAATGGTAAAGGGATCAATTCAACTGGAAGTGCTAATTATCCTAAATATACATGCACCCAATACAGGAGCACCCAGATTCATAAAGCAAGTCCTTAGAGACTTACAAAGAGACTTAGAATCCCATACAATAATAACGGGAGACTTCAACACCCCACTGTCAACATTAGACAGGTCAATGAGACAGATAACAAGGATATCCAGGAATCGAACTCAACTCTGCACCAAGCAGACCTAATAGACATCTACAGAACTCTCCACCCCAAATCAACAGAATATACATTCTTCTCAGCATTACATTGCACATATTCCAAAATTGGCCACATAATTGGAAGTAAAACACTCCTCAGCAAATGTACAAGAACAGAAATTATAACAAACTGTCTCTCAGACCACAGTGCAATCAAACCAGAACTCAGGACTAAGAAACTCAATCAAAATCGCTCAACTACATGGAAACTGAACAACCTGTTCCTGAATGACTACTGGGTACATAACAAAATGAAGGCAGAAATAAAGATGTTCTTTGAAATCAATGAGAACAAAGATACAACATACCAGAATCTCTGGGACACATTTAAAGTAGTGTGCAGAAGGAAATTTATAGCACTAAATGCCCAAAAGAGAAAGCTGGAAAGATCTAAAATTGACACCCTAACATCACAATTAAAAGAACTAGAGAAGCAAGAGCAAACACATTCAAAAGCTAGCAGAAGGCAAGAAATAACTAAGATCAGAGCAGAACTGAAGGAGATAGAGACACAAAAAACTCTCCAAAAAATCAATGAATCCAGGAGTTGGTTTTTTGAAAAGATCAACAAAATTGATAGACTGCTAGCAAGACTAATAAAGAAGAAAAGAGAGAAGAATCAAATTGACGCAATAAAAAATGATAAAGGGGATATCACCACCAACCCCACAGAAATACAAACTACCATCAGAGAACACTATAAACACTCCTACACAAATAAACTAGAAAACCTAGAAGAAATGGATAATTTCCTGGACACTTACACTCTCCCAAGACTAAACCAGGAAGAAATTGAATCCCTGAATAGACTAATAGCAGGCTCTGAAATTGAGGCAATAATTAATAGCCTACCAACCAAAAAAAGTCCAGGACCACATGGATTCACAGCCGAATTCTACCAGAGGTACAAGGAGGAGCTGGTACCATTCCTTCTGAAACTATTCCAATCAGTAGAAAAAGACGGAATCCTCCCTAACTCATTTTATGAGGCCAACATCATCCTGATACCAAAGCCTGGCAGAGACACAACAAAAAAAGAGAATTTTAGACCAATATCCCTGATGAACAGAGATGCAAAAATCCTCAATAAAATACTGGCAAACCAAATCCAGCATCACATCAAAAAGTTTATCCACCACGATCAAGTAGGCTTCATCCCTGGGATGCAAGGCTGGTTCAACATATGCAAATCAATAGACGTAACCCAGCATATAAACAGAAATAAAGACAAAAACCACATGATTATCTCAATAGATGCAGAAAAGGTCTTTGACAAAATTCAACAGCCCTTCATGCTAAAAACTCTCAATAAACTCAGTATTGATGGAACCTATCTCAAAATAATAAGAGCTATTTATGACAAACTCACAGCCAATATCATACTGAATGGGCAAAAACTGGAAAAATTCCCTTTGAAAACTGGCACAAGACAGGGATGCCCTCTCTCACCACTCCTATTCAATATAGTGTTGGAAGTTCTGGCTAGGGCAATCAGGCAAGAGAAAGAAATCAAGGGTATTCAGTTAGGAAAAGAAGAAGTCAACTTGTCCCTGTTTGCAGATGACATGATTGTATATTTAGAAAACCCCATTGTATCAGCCCAAAATCTCCTTAAGCTGATAAGAAACTTCAGCAAAGTCTCAGGATACAAAATTAATGTGCAAAAATCACAAGCATTCTTATACACCAGTAACAGACAAACAGAGAGCCAAATCATGAATGAACTCCCATTCACAATAGCTTCAAAGAGAATAAAATATCTAGGAATCCAACTTACAAGGTATGTAAAGGACTTCTTCAAGGAGAACTACAAACCACTGCTCAGTGAAATAAAAGAGGACACAAACAAATGGAAGAACATACCATGCTCATGGATAGGAAGAATCAATATTGTGAAAATGGCCATACTGCCCAAGGTAATTTATAGATTCAATGCCATCCCCATCAAGTTACCAATGACTTTCTTCACCGAATTGGAAAAAACTGCTTTAAAGTTCATATGGAACCAAAAAAGAGCCCGCATTGCCAAGACAATCCTAAGTCAAAAGAACAAAGCTGGAGGCATCACACTACCTGACTTCAAACTATACTACAAGGCTACAGTAACCAAAACAGCATGGTACTGGTACCAAAACAGAGATATAGGCCAATGAAACAGAACAGAGTCCTCCTAAATGATACCACACATCTACACCCATCTGATCTTTGACAAACCTGAGAAAAACAAGAAATGGGGAAAGGAATCCCTATTTAATAAATGGTGCTGGGAAAATTGGCTAACCATATATAGAAAGCTGATAGTGGATCCTTTCCTTACCCCTCATATGAAAATTAATTCAAGATGGATTAGAGACTTAAATGTTAGACCTAATACCATAAAAACCCTAGAAGAAAACCTAGGTCATACCATTCAGTACATAGGCATGGGCAAGGACTTCATGTCTAAAACACCAAAAGCAATGGCAACAAAAGCCAAAATTGACAAATGGGATCTCATTAAACTAAAGAGCTTCTGCACAGCAAAAGAAACTACCATCAGAGTGAACAGGCAACCTACAGAATGGGAGAAAATTTTTGCAATCTACTCATCTGACAAAGGGATAATATCCAGAACCTACAAAGAACTCAAACAAATTTACAAGAAAAAAACAAACAACCCCATCAAAAAGTGGGCAAAGGATATGAACAGACATTTCTCAAAAGAAGACATTCATACAGCCAACAGACACATGAAAAAATGCTCGTCATCACTGGCCATCAGAGAAATGCAAATCAAAACCACAATGAGATACCATCTCACACCAGTTAGAATGGCGATCATTAAAAAGTCAGGAAACAACAGGTGCTGGAGAGGATGTGGAGAAATAGGAACACTTTTACACTGTTGGTGGGATTGTAAACTAGTTCAACCATTGTGGAAAACAGTATGGCGATTCCTCAAGGATCTAGAACTAGATGTACCATATGACCCAGCCATCCCATTACTGGGTATATACCCAAAGGATTATAAATCATGCTGCTATAAAGACACATGCACATGTATGTTTATTGCGGCACTACTCACAATAGCAAAGACCTGGAATCAACCCAAATGTCCATCAGTGACATACTGGATTAAGAAAATGTGGCTATACACCATGGAATACTATGCAGCCATAAAAAAGGATGAGTTTGTGTCCTTTGTAGGGACATGGATGCAGCTGGAAACCATCATTCTTAGCAAACTATCACAAGAACAGAAAACCAAACACCGCATGTTCTCACTCATAAGTGGGAACTGAACAATGAGATCACTTGGACTTGGGAAGGGGAACATCACACACCAGGGCCTATCGTGGGGAGGGGGGAGGGGCAAGGGATGGCATTGGGAGTTATACCTGATGTAAATGACGAGTTGATGGGTGCTGACGAGTTGATGGGTGCAGCACACCAACATGGCACAAGTATACATATGTAACAAACCTGCACGTTATGCACATGTACCCTAGAACTTAAAGTATAATAATAATAAAAAATAAAAAAATAAAAATAAAAAAAATTAAAAATTTTAAAAAAAGAAAATGTGGCACATATACACCATTGAATACTATGCAGCCATAAAAAAGGATGACTTCGTGTCCTTTGTAGGGACATGGATGCAGCTAGAAACCATCATTCTCAGCAAACTATCGCAAGAACAGAAAACCAAACACCGCATGTTCTCACTCATAGGTGGGAATTGAACAATGAGATCACTTGGACATGGGAAGAGGAACATCACACACTGGGGCCTATTGTGGGGAGGGGGTAGGGGGGAGGGATGGCATTGGGAGTTATACCTGATGTAAATGACGAGTTGATGGGTGCTGACTAGTTGATGGGTGCAGCACACCAACATGGCACATGTATACATATGTAACAAACCTGCACGTTGTGCACATGTACCCTAGAACTTATAGTATAATAAAAAAAAAAAAGAAAAGAAAAAAGAGAAACGTAGATAGGACCAGTATTGAAGAAAAGGATAAATTAGGAGCTTATTGTGGAAAGATGCTGGAGAGGTATTAAGAGTCTAAATTTTGCAGGGTTTTATAAATCACATGAAGCAATTTTTTTTCTACTGTAAGAACCAGTGAGGGCCCAGGTGGTTGACATGGTCAAATTTGCACTCTGAAAAGGTCACCCTCACTGTGTACAAAGCACTATATTGAGAAGTGATGGGGTCTGTCAAGTTTGCTAAGGGCAGAGGAGCAAGGGATTAGGGAGGATTTTAAATTTGGATGTGGAGGTGAATTAGGTTATAGAGGTTACGATGTCTTCTGGAAAACTTGGTAGGTGGTACACTCAATAGAACTTGGAAATACATTGGATATGGTAATTCAAAAATAACTATGAACCAAAAATATTATGAGTCCTAATATGTCCTAAACTGAGGGTCTGGAAGAAACTTCTAATTGTCTGTAAAATGTCCATTATCACCTATTTTTTTTTACTAATAGAACCAGAATTTTGCTGTGAATGGAAACATACTTAGATAATAATCCTGATATCCTAGCCTCCCTTGCAGATGGGAGGAGGTGGGAACATCGAACAGCACTCTAGTAAATGAGTGTAAGGAGAAGCCATTGGGCGGAGCTTCTGGTAAAGACTGACTCAGCCAGCATGTACATGTGCTCTTGACTTTCTCCTTCTTTCAGTCTGGAAGGTGTATAAAGTGGAAGGATCTCTATCAGTCTCTTGAAAGTATAAAAACAAGAGTGACACATTAAGAGTGAAAAACAGTAAGCTAGAAAACCCTGGTTCCTTTGTAACATGATGAAGGTACTGCACCCGCCCTGATTATTACAGAGCTCCTTTGTGTGGAAAAAAAAAAACTCAATCTTGTTAAAAACATTATTGTTTGGGTTTTTTAAATGTGAACCTGAGCCAGTCTCTTACATATATAGAAGATATTTATTAAAAATTGAAGTTCATCACTTTATCGGAGGCTGATGGAGTAAGTCAGAATTGAGCTTAATAGTCTAGATCTTCAAAGACGCTCTAGTGAGTCTGGTACAGCTAATATTGATGGGTTAAGGTCTGACTTGTGGGAACCACTATCCTATACAACCTTTGCCTGCCCTCCCCCACTTTTCTCACCAAAGTGTGCACCTAAATACAAATGCTCTAATTTTCTCCACAAACACATTTTCGGTACTATCTAAACTGTGTCAAGAAAACTATAGTCAGCATTTATTTCTCAGTAGGAGCAAGAATAAATAGCTGAAAAACTGTTATGTATTTGATACTAAAAACACTGCTTTCAAAACACAGCATTTTAGGACCTGGTAGTGGCAAACACCTGTCTCTCGTTTGGATGGGGAAAAGTTGTTACTTTCTTATAAATTCCCAATTTACCTAATAGAGACATTGAAGCTTGGGAATCATATGACTAATAAATGGTGAAATCAGATCCAGATATTTGTCACTATCACTCCAAAGATTCAAATAATTGTCTGTCTTACTATGCAATGGTTTTACTCCTCAGCTCTAAAATGAAAAGTTTGGTTGAGAGTCCTAGGACCCCTTCCAATTCTAATGCCTAATGAATCTACTGCTTCTTATACAATCAGAGGAATGCAAGAGCCACCTAATGCATCTCAAAGACCCACTGACATCTTGGGAGGGCTGCACATAGGACAAATGAGACCTTCTAAAACTGAGCAGCCTTCCTCCTCTTCCACAAGTGCCCAGTGACTGTTTCTTTTTTTCCTAATAAAATTAGAGATTAAGTAATATTTTGGGCTCATTGATCCAAATCCTTTATTTCAAGTGAGGAAATTGAAGACTGCTGCACTGACAATGTCCCTATGTAGCCAGGATTAGCAGAACTGAGCCTGGTATTTCCATTTCCTGTTCCAAATTTCATGCCTTTTCCCCTAGTCCAAGATGCTTTTTTAAAAATCATGAATTTGAAAGCGTTCCCCTTTTACTTTGCCAGCTGTTTGTAGATTCTTCTTCACTGAAAGACATAACCACCAGTTCTGCCCACTGTTAGGGCTTCTAAGAAGCTGCTTTGGCAGGGTTTGTGTAGAGGCTGCAGGTTCCTGGGGAACACTGTGCATCCGTAGCACAGAAGTAAGAAGCAGTGTCTGCTGCCCGGGAAGCCGTGATCAACAAGGAACTGCTTTTCTTCAAAGTGTCAAGAGTGACTCTTAGTCTTCCGCTATTTTTCTCTCTTTCATTTGAACGTATTAAAACTAGCTGTACAAGGCTTCTACCTGAATCTTGTCTATACCACTGTAAATTGTTTATACTAGTTTTGTAACTGCAGTTCATGGTGGCATTTTCACCCTCCTGGATGCTCAAGGCCTGAGGATCCTCTTCTCCTTGTTGACTGTTCACCCCTAGGCAGAAACACAGGTCCGGGACCAGGAGTCACTCATTACATTTTCAAATTACATTTCCAAATTAATAAGAACACTTTACCCCTCAGTCCTGTGGGCTCTAAAGTTTGGTCTTGCCATTCCCATCACCAAAAACCCCAACTCACTGGCCAGTTGAAGCCATAGAATCACCAAAGACACTCCCAGGAGAGTTTCCATTCTTCTTCCTTATTGAAATCACAGAAGACCTAAAATGGAGCCAGGCTCCTCAGTCACAGGTGAGCTCTCTTTACTGGATGAATCCCTAGTCCTTCTGTCCCCTAGTCTCAGGTTCCTACCTAGCCAGTCAGAGGCAAGCTCAGTCCTTTGCTTTCAACGCAAGACAGGCTGATCTAAAGCCAAGTTAGTCTGAGAAGAGGGAGGCACTGCCCTCTTGTGACGGCGACATCATCCTGCTGCTAGGATGTACTCTGGAACGGCGATGCAAGTTCAGAGCTGACTCAGAAGAAATTATAAAGCTATTCCATTCCCTGCCTTTATTGAATTCTGGTTCTAACTTAGAATAGGAACAGATGCATTTCAATTCAGGTAAGAACTCAACTACGAAAGTTGGTGCTCAATATTTGCAGACTACCTCTGAGAAGCACTGTTAAATTCCCTGTAGTTACTATGACCTCTGATCATGTACCTATGAGCCTCCTTTTAAAAAATTTCCCTGGAATGAGATTATATACAAGTCAGGGTTTTTATCGATGGGCAACAGAAATGGACTCTGCCTGAATTAAGTAGAAAAGGAATAAATTAATGAATACTGGATTTGCCTCAGAATCTCCAATAGGGTCAGAGAATTGAACTCAAAAGCTATTAAGTGAGCAGCAGTACAGAAAATCACTCTGGAGAATCACTCCTCTGAGTATCCCTCCTGAGCTCCAGATACTGCATGTAGTTTACTCAAGACTGTTCATGCAGGACAATGTATGTAGCTACAATTCCACTGCCTTGTAGCTCTGTAAACTCTCATGTCCAGCTTGCTGTAATTACCACCACTCCCAAAAAGCAAATTCTTACTTTTTCTTTTTTCTTTTTCTTTTTTTTTTTTTGCACAAGTAATTCTTGAGTGAAAGTTAGGACCAATTCATCTAACTGTTAGAGCCCAAGCCATGTGCCCACATCAAGCCGTGTGCCCACATCAAGCCTAACCAGAAGGCAGGTTACGAGTGTACTGTATTAGTTTACCAGGGCTCCCATGACAAAGTATCACAGACTGCATGGCTTAAACCACAAACATTTATTTTCTCATGATTTTAGGGACTACAAGTTCAAGGTCAAAGTGCTGGCAGGTTTAGTTTCTTTTGAGGTCTTTCTCCATGACTCATAGATGGCTGTCTTCTTGATGTGTCTTCACATGGTCATCCCTTTGCCTGTGCTGTCTGTCCTAATCTCCTCTTAAGGATACCAGTCTTATTGAATTAGGGGTTACCCTCAGGACCACCTTTTAACTTTACCTCTAAAAGTTGTGTCTCCAAATACAGTCACGTTCTGAGGTACTGGGGGTTAGGGTGTCTACATACACATTTTGTGGAAACACAATTCAGCCCACGGCAATGAATACCTACAAGTTTTAGTTTCTATGGCAGGAGGCAGGCAGGTCCAGGAAGAGAGGAAGTTTTGTAGTCAGGCCATCGAAGTCAGGTTTACATCTATCAATTCAGTAGCTGTTTCTGTCTTCTGTGCCTACATTCTCTTGGCTATACAACATGGATCATGAGTAAATAATAATACTACTTTTCAGAACTGTTGAAGGTTAATGATGAGATAATAAAATGTCATTTAGCACAGTGCCTGACATTCATTAGTGACTGAAAAATTATTATTGTTCTAAGAAAATGGGTCCTGATGCAGAGCAGTGAAAAAGAAGAGTAAGAATCTTCTAGAGTATTTTATAAATGTTCTCAAAAATTGATTTTAAGATATTTTGTGTGTAAAATAGAGGGAGAGATGGGAAAGAGAAGAGAGGAAAACAGAGAAAGGAAAAAAGAAATGAAGAGAAGAAGAGATTGCTGACTGGAGCAATATGTAGATTGGAGAGTTCCACGAGATAAGTCTAGAAGAATGGTCTGGGTCAGATGACTGCCAAAATAAATCTGTATGTATTTCTGTGCGAAATGAAGACATATGAAAGCTTTTTGAGCAATGAACCAGTGTTATTTAACAAACTGAAATTTTAATCTGTCTGCTCTCTTCCAGATAATTTTGGAAAAGTCTGTGAGGAAATTTAGAATAGTAGTTAAAGGATGTACGCTGGTTCTAAGAAATTAAATGCTGTGTCTAATGTCTCACAATGAGGAGGTTAAGAATATAGTACTTTTAATATTTGTATGTATTTAGCTGTATCTGCAAAAAGTAACCAGAAATATTGCTGGCCTCTTGGGAAAACTGTGAGACAGAGTGTGAGGCAGAATAAAACTATTTTTACAATAGTGCTGATATTATTTGAGTCTTTCACTGTGTTGACATTTACACTGATGGAGCAAATGCAGTTGCTTGCATTTTAAAACAGGTAAAATAAATGAACCAAAAATGTTCTAGTAGTCATTGTATGTAATTATTACCACCACACTGGTGAGAGAAAAAGATTTTACTCAAGAATGTCCTAGATGTAGAAGCAAAAATTTTTAAATTAACCCTTGAGACTACAGCTTTTTAATATTCTGCGTGATGACATAGCACATATGCACAAAGCTCATCTGGGGTGTACTAACACAGTGGTGTCTTGAGAGTGGAAGGCACTGGAGCATTGTTTGAGTTGTGAGCTAAATTAGCTGTTTTTCATAGAACTTTTTTTTTTTTTTTACTTGAAGGCATGAGTGACAGAACAGCAGATTTGGGTAGTTGGAAGAAATGTTCTTGAAAATGATAAAGTGTGAACCTGCCACTTTGAGGAAAACACTGAATAGTGGTTGTTGCCAATGATAATATTTGAGCTTCCAAGTGAAAATTAGAATTTTGGAAAATTTGCATCCACTACCATCGGCTTCACAGCTTCCTAATTCTTAGTGGTTTTGCTGATAAGATTGGTGGTGATAGTAAAGAATGCAATTTTTGAACTATAGTCCTGTATTTGTTTTGAAATTATTATAAATCCATGGGAAGTTGCCAAAATAGTTTATAGAACCCTGTGTACTCTTCACATAGCCTTTTCCAGTAGAGATATCTTATATAACTGAAATGCAGTATAAATACCAGGAAATTGACATTGTTCAAATACCACTAACTAGACTACAGGTATTATTCAATTTTCACCATTTTCCTGCTTTTCTCTGTGTGTGTGCATGCGTACATATGTGTGGTTCTTGATTTTATCTCATATAACCACCAACATAATAAAGATTCAGACTGTTCCATCAACACAGAATTCTCTCATCCTAACCCTCTATATGCACGAACACCCTCCCATCCCCAATCTCTGTCCCCTAGCAACCATCTCTTATAGTTCTGTTATTTTGAAAATGTTATATATATGGAATCAAACTGTATGTAACCTTTGGGAATTGACCCATACAGGTTGTTTCATGTATTAATAGTTTGTTCCTTTTTTGTCATATTATTCCATGGTATGAACTACTATAGTTTATTTAACCATTTACCCCTTGAAAAATCTCTAGGTTGATTCCAGTTTTTGGCAATTATGAATAAAGTTACTATGAATGTTGTATCAGACTTTATGTGAATGTTGCTGGGATAGATGTCCAATTCACAATGGCATGGTCATATTTAGTTTATGTTTTAATATTCTGTGTGATGACATAGCACGTATGCATAAAGCTCATCTGGGGTTTAGTGCATGTTTAGTTTCATAAAAAACTGCCAAATTATTTTCCAGAATGGCTGTACGATTTTACAATCCCACCAGCAATGTATAAAAGCATCCATTTCTCTACATACTCACCAACATTTAGTATTATTATTATTTTGTATTTTAGTTGTTCTAATATGTTTATAGTGATATCTCACTGTAATTTTTGTTTTCATTTTGCTAGTGAAGAATGATACTGAATATCTTTTTATTTGCTTATTTTTCACCCGTATTTTTACTTTGGTGAAATATCTGTTCTATTTCTAATTGGATTATTTATATGTTTCTTTTTTACACTGAGATTTGAGTGCTCTTTATTCTAGATATAAGACTTCTGTCTGATGTGTGATTTATAAACATTTTCTCTCTGTCTATAGGTTGCCTTTTATTCTATTAACGTGGTCTTTCTACAATGCCAAAGGTTTCAATTTTATTTAAGGCCAATTTAACATTTTTCTCTTTTATAGATTGCGCTTTTTGGGTGGATGTCCAAGAACTCACTATCTAGCTCTAGTTCTCAGATATTTTCTCTAGTTCATGATACATGAGTTCAGGATTGGTAGAATGATGTGCCGAAGGTCTTGAGGTGAGTTTTATTGATAAAACTATTGTTTTCATAAGCAAGCTATTTTTCCAATTAAGGAAACTCTTATCCTGATTAGGCATCTGTTTGCCCAGATGAACATACTGTTTGCCTATATTAATTGGTTTGACACGGTTCCCTGAAGAAACCAGTGAAATCACATTAGTGGAGGTTGACTCACATGCTCACAGGAAAGGATTGCTAATTTTCATATTTGTTTAAATGAATTTAATATTCCTTTCCTGTGTACATATTGTGTGCTCCATATTGTGTTAGAAGGTTAGGTAAAAGCCAGAGAGAACATAATAGCTCTTCTCTGGAACATTCAGCTCAATAGGAAGAGGAGATAAGATAAAGTTTTAATATACTGTGATAGTTACCAGAACATATTGCAGAGTTGTCAGGAAGGGGGCGAGTCGCTCCAGAAGCCATAACATGCTTAAAATATAAGAAGCTCTTGAGCTGGAAGTTGAAGATCAATACCTTTAATGATAAACTCCACAAAAATTCAAGGACTTGTCATTTCAGTGAAGTTTCCAGAGGTTCAACCGTCCAGAGAATATTGAGGCATCTCTTCCAAGGTGAAAGACATGTTGCTGCACCCCACACCACCTACCACAGAAAAAGAGGCACACATTTGATTGACTATTTTACATTTGGAGGCAATCTATGCCACATGGGGGTGTGCTATTTTGGCCTATTTACAGAGTCATCTGTAAAGCTGCCAATTTTCAGAGGAAACCAGAGCAACAGGAGACTCTACAATTTCAGACTTCAGTACAATCTGTTTCATCGCATTGGTCTTTTGATTCAGCAGATCCAACAATTATATTCAAAGTTTCCATGGCAAGTAATAATGCTCTATAGAGACTCTGGGAAACACCAATAGGAGAATCACAGCATAGTCTTCTAGTAGTTGGGAGAATATGTTCCATTTTCTA